CAAAGTAAACAGCAAGATCAACATTTCAGGTGCTAAAAGCAATTATCAGATTTCCATTGAACCATTCCTTCCCCACTGATTTATCACTTCATGCACTCGGCCTTCAGATGGAGCTTTAGCGGCCCTGACCTTTGAGAGACGAGAATGTGTGATCTGTTGGCTCCACTTAGTGTTGGTTTGTTGTAACAGCAGCAGTTTGCAGGCTCACATGTCAGGATGTGAGAATAGTGAATCCAGTTTGTGAAGCTACTGATTCAGGGATGCTCAATCAAAGAGGAACTTCACATTTTAACACTTTATATCAATAAATAATTTGGGAATATGTCAATAAGCTAATGACGAGTGCCATGATTGGTTTTATTGCAGTGCTTTGCAACAAATCAAAATGTTCTGATACAAGACAGGTTCAACAGATGGTTTTACCTGAGCCTTTTTTAAATATTGGTAGGAAAACAATACTTAGAAAGTGTTTGTATGACATACAGGAATAATTACATTAATATTATGTATTTGTTTCACTGGTCTTAACTTGTATTGGTACATATCTAAGAAAGAGCTCTTGTGTTTTACTCAAATTGGTTATTTAATTAATTAATATTTGTGTCTTTTCGTCAAATATCAGCATTTCTTGTTTAATAAAATGTTAAAACCTTAAAGCATAATTGTAAAAAATAGTGTGGTAATGGCTCGAAGATAATTTTGCTATTTTATTTTAGATGTTATTTAATCTAATTTTTACCTTTTTTAAATTATTATTATTTTATTATTATTTATTTTTAATTCAATTTGAAAAACATGTTATGATCTTTTTTGTATGTGCTGTATTCGTCCTTCCAACAGATGGCGATAGTGTTTTCTCTCCCTGTGGGCGTCAGCCGTTTAATCTACTAAAGAAGAAGAACAAGAAGAACCGGAAGTAAACGTTGCATGGTCGCTACTAGCTCATGTCGTAACACTTTAGTTGGACTTTTTAAGCAGTTAAAAATGAACAAACCACAGGAGTTTGATTCGTATGAACTCGAGGAGCCCAGCGATGAAGAGAGAGCTGAGAGCAGGTTGGAAAATAATAAAAACAGCTTAAAAAACGGTGTAGTTTGAGCACCATGAGGCTAGCTAGCTAAATGCTAACATGTAAACAAACTCAAACACGTTGAAGACAGGGAACGGTTTCTAGCTAGCGACTGTTGGAATACAGGAGATACAGATAAACATGAACTGTTTTTATGTACGTAGCGTTTTATTGAAGTCATCTTATTATAATCAGGTAATAAAAAGGATAACTGAGCGGGTTTATATAGTTATTTTTCTATTGCTAATGTCTGCTAGTTAAATACATAAAAGTCAACGCTATTAATATACACACGCAGTAGAAGGGATGTTAATATCCTTTTAAAGTGCTTTAGAAATGTAACTGATTTACTCAATTACATTTCACCACTGGCAGAAGTACTTGCATAGATTAAGAGAGCCCGAAGTCATTTTCTCAAAGAGCCTTCAGCGTGCATTTGAATCCTGTTTTTTACTCTGACCCTGTTGACGCCCACAGGATAAAAACAAGTGTCATCTTCTCTCTCGCTGTCTTTCAGTTCGGAGGACGAGTTGGAGGTGCTGCTCAACGGGACGCCGGAGCAGAAGAAGAAGCTGATCAGAGAATATCTGACGGGGGAGAGCGAGTCGTCGAGCGAGGATGAGTTCGAGAAAGAGATGGAGGCCGAGCTCAGCACCACCATCAAGACCTTGGAGGGAACATGGACCCCAGCAACAGCAGGTAACACACTCCAGAGGCCTGGTTCCAGGCTAAGAGCTCAACTCAGTGAAAGCACCGCCTGCTGACCAATCAGAGCTCAGTGCGCGGAGTTTAAAGCGATCAAGTCATATTACAGGAGAAAGGAAATACAGAAGAGCTGCCGTCGCAGGAAAGACGGCCGGCAAAAATCACCGACTGTGTGAACGTGAACATGAATAGAATATCACCTCCATCTTCAGAGCAATCTGACTATTATAACATTAGCGTTAAGAACACTTACCACATATCTGCTACAACATAAGTAACCGGATCAGAGTAACAATAAGTACAGTCCGCCGCACTGTGAGTGCAGACGTCGATGTATCCCATTATCATTCACATCATAATTTGGGTTCCTGGTCAGCGTCCTCGTTGTGAAAGCATTACTGATATGTGTGTGTTTATTCTCCAGCAGCAGCAGCAGCAGCAGGAGAACCAGGAGCAGCTGTTGTTGTTGCTCCTGGACTTCCTAACCCTACGGTGTACGATGAGGTTTACTTCGACTCAGACTCAGAGGGAGAGGATATGCAGAGTAAGCAGAAATGTTCCCCACTGCCTGCAACCCATTAACCATCAATTATAAAGTCTTCCTCATGAATGTCAATTTAGATTCAGATTCCTTACATGTCTCTGTTTGTTCCTTAGGTAGCTCCACTGGGCGGAGGAGGAAACAGCGATCCATCCTGACCAATGACGAGCTGCTGTACGACCCCGAGGAGGACGACAGGGACCAGGCCTGGGTGGACGCCAGGAGGACACAGTAAGACGCTCAGAAGGAGTCTTCTATCTGTTCATCCAGTCAGTCGAGTTCCTCTTCACCTTGTGTCTTCCTGTGCAGGTACACCGGCAGGAAGCGAGCGTCTGCAGCCTCTCGGTCGCAGGCTCGTCGAGGTCCAGGAGCAACGAGCAGCGACGCCGTCCTCAACTGTCCCGCCTGCATGACTACGCTCTGCCTGGACTGTCAGAGGTGAGGCTCCACAACAACAACAACAACAAACACTATAGAGTCAGGGTTTGTTTGTGCCACCCTGAGGCATCTTTGAACGGAACATGCTGCTTCACAATATGTGCTTCTCAGTGGACATTTGCTCCAACAAAGAGAGAGGGATGTTCTAATGATAAGAATAATGCATAAGTGCTCCTTTTTCCCTTTTGAAAGGAACCTTCTCATACCCGATTGAACTCAGACACAACCTGCTGGGCTTTTGATGATTTCTGTTCTCTGCGTGGAAACTTAAAGCTCTGTTTTTCAAGGCCCATGAAAATAGGATTTGGAAGATATTTACAGGGTTCTTCTTACGGTCATTAAAAACCTGGAAAAGTCATGGAAATTCAAAATGCTAATTCCAGGCCCTGGAAAACAATATTTTTCCCAAAGTTTTGGAAAAGTCATGGAAATGTAACTAAAGTTGCATCAAATATAATTTATATTTTATCTAATTCGCCAAAATAGCAATACTATAATGAGAATAAATACTGTATGGTAATGAAACGTAGAATGGCATTTAACTGACGCGGTATTTCTCTGGTGAGAGATGTTTACAATCACGCCCTCTAGTGGCTTTAGCCTGTCGGAGCTAGTAAGCCTACTATTTGATATAAGTTATTTCATATGCAGACCTTATTTTCCTGTTCCATGTTAAAATAAAATAAATTCAGTGGTACCGCTGAGAAAGAGATTTGTTTTGGTCATGGAAAATTAGGTAAAGGTCCTGGAGAAGTCATTGAAAATCATTGGTGAAAAAGTGTATGAACCCTGTATTTAAGACGATGACCTGTATCATCTTCATTCAGCGATTTCTTTCTGAGATTTGGAAGTTCAATAAGTCAATAGTTACCATGATTCATTAAAGGTGGGGTAGGTAATTCACTTCAGAAACACTTGTTGTTATATTCCATGGAATGCTCTTAACATCCCGATAGCAATGAATACATGAAATGCTTTGACAATAAATATATAAAAACATTTCATCTCTGGAAGCCGTGGCGCTGTAGAAAGCACGACCAATCATCTGAGCCGGCTAAAGTAACTGGACGGCCTACCTGCCTGTCAGCCTTCCATCGGGGCACAAACTTACCTCGTGCCCTCATTGGTCATGTGCGCGTTCGTGTGTGTTGGAGGAGGGGCTCTGTGAGGAAGTCTGAAGGAAGGGGCAGATTTGTTTCGGCTGTGTATTTTCAAATTCTAGCGATCTCGAGCTGGTTTCTCCGTTCTTACCTACCCCACCTTTAATCTAAACATTACTTGTGAAACATAAAGCCACTTATCACAACGGCCGCTAAATCATTTTATATACAGCGACTAATCAATCATTGTTAATGAGAATTTGAAAAAAATACTTCTTACCACTGTCTAGTTCCTAATACATCAATCAGTCAATCAACAACTTCCAAACACTCCTTCAAACATTGTTTTTTCTTTTTCTTTTAAACATCTCCAATCCAAGGAGATTGTAAATTGATTTGGGTTTGGGATGTTGGTTGGACCAAATAAGACCATTGAACATTAGACCTGAGAGCAAGTTAACTTTAGACTAAACACTATCAAAAATAAATGAATCAGATAATAATATTTTTAGTTGTAGCCCAAACAGTTATTAGCCGCTTTCACACCAAGTACTTTGCCGTACTTAGTTCCCAGCACTTAGTTCCCCCATGGAACTAAGTACAGATCGCGTTCACACCGGAATAAATCCCAGAGGGAAAATTACGCAAATGAAGCCGCTGACGTCACTTGTTCTTCTTCTGCTTTGGGTTTACTGGCAGGCCGCAAACCACTTCACGGCGTATACTGCCACCCGGAGTCCCCGGCCGGAAGTCCCCGGAGTTAGGGACTGGCTTCAGTAGAAGCTGCTGGGACTCCCAGCAGCTTCTACTGAAGCCTTCCGAGTAAATCGCCAGAACGCCGACACCTCCTCATCTCCACCGCTCCCATGTTTTCTTTTGTGTTGCCATAAGTTATTCTCTCTCCGTTGGTGCGCTGGGCTAATGCTAATGCTAATAATGCTAATGCCGGCAAATACAATGGCGGCTTCACAAAACGTTTCAGAGTTTTACGGGGCGTGGTTTGCAATTCTTCCAGCCAATCAGAAATTGGAACTTGTTTCTCTCCAGGATAGTACCACCTCTCTAGCAGGCTCTACACATGGGGGTAAAAGTTCTCTGAACTAAGTTCTCTTTTTGGTGTGAACGCAAAATTCCAGGAACTATCGGAACTAAACGGGAAAAGTACCTATTGTCACAGAAGCAGGGTTTAATGATGATTATCCAGCTGCCTTTGTGTTCAAACTCATCTGCAAACTGTCCCTCAGCTGATATCCTCCACTGAAGTGTTTTTGTGTGTTTCCTCTCAGGCACGATAAGTACCAGACGCAGTACCGCGCCATGTTCGTAATGAACTGCATCGTGAAGAGAGACGAGGTGTTGCGCTACAAAATCCAGCAGGACCTGAAGCGCAGGAAGAGGAAGAGGAGGAGGGGACAGAGAGCAGAAACAGAAAGCATAGCTGACGAGACTCCGGAGCCTCAACCCGCGGGGATGAACTCTGAGGAGGTCTACCACCCCGTCTGGTGCACAGAATGCTCCACAGAAGTCGCCGTTTTCGATAAAGACGAGGTCTACCACTTCTTCAACATCCTGGCCAGCCACTGCTGAGACACACCGGCAGGGAGGTTTTTATTTCAGAGGGTTTGTCCGTGACTTTTCACCTCACTGCAGCTTTTTTAGCTACAGGATTGAAGAAGAAGGAGGAGGAGGAGGAGGAGGACTGATGATTTCTGGCTGAGAGGGCAGAATCAAATTCGATGTAGACACTCTGAGTTGATATCATCGTTGGTTTAGTGAACCTGCTTGAAGAGACGGAAACAATCTGAAAAGCTTGGGAATGTCATCGATGTGTGACCTTTTTAAATATCTCACAGAAACTGGAATTTTGCAGCTCCTACGATCAGTACTGGACCGCATAAATAAAACCCATATTTAAGGCAGAAGCGTCTATTATTACTTGTGATATATTGATTGATACTCAATTTGTTTTAACACCACACTCAACCCTTTTTGATATGGCTCGGTAACTTGGCTATTTGGCATTCATAATCAGTATATACATAATAAATACATGAGGACGGACACTCCAGTTGTAATCATTTAAATATGTCTTCAGAGGAGAATTTATAATTGTTGACAAACTGTCGCTTAATAAACACTTAAGAATGTCCTACACACTACATTATGGGATGTTATGTACGACAGGTGTTTGTACTGCTTATGAATGGCAAAAAGAGGGGCTTAAAGTGCGTTGCCTAGAAACCATATATTTTTTTAAAGAATTGTGAACGTGTACTGAGAGGGATATTCTTTGCTTCCTAATAAACCTGCAAGTGCATTCTGTTTAACAAGTTGGTGACATTATTTCTAAATGAACGTGTGTTTGACATTTCTTTAGTCACATTTAAACTGCTGACATATTCTCACGCCCAATAAAATATATCAGACGTAGACTAGAGTGGGCTTTCCAACTTTTTAAGATGAAATATATAGTTTCATATTTAAAGGCCCTGTAACTTTATCAAAGAGAAAGTCACGGTACGCACACACACACAGACACACACGCATACACAAGCACACACATACATATACACACACACACAGACAGACACACGCATACACAAGCACACACATACATATACACACACACAGACAGACACACGCATACACAAGCACACACATACATATACACACACACAGACAGACACACGCATACACAAGCACACACATACATATACACACACACAGACAGACACACGCATACACAAGCACACACATACATATACACACGCATACACACACACGCACAGACAAACACGCGCACACAAACACACATACACACGCAAGCACACATACATACACGCACACACAGGTACAGGACTTTTTATATTTCCTTTATTATTATTATTATTAAACACGAGTTTTCTTGTTTTGAGAGATTTTCTGTGGAAAGAGAACCAGAAGTTTGGTAAAGTTAGTTAGATAGATATCGAGGCTTAATTCCAGGGACTAGTCTCCAGATGCGTTTCGAGATATTGAGCCGTGAATATCTTTCAAAATAAACCTTACAATGGAAAGCTAGTCTTATCAATATAGACTCTGAGAGAGGGAATTAAAGACTGTCTCTACGGCCTCTCTCTTGTTATCCCAACGATTTCTTAAAACCTTATATTTCATTTCAAGTGTCGTTTGTTCTCATTATACATCCGTGCGTTTATCAGACATGGGCTTTTTTATTTTGAAACTACTTCCGGGAATTCCGCCGGGCCCCTCGCTCTAAAGATTCTCTGGCCTTTTTATTAAAGTGAAAAACTAAAACAAAAGAACATTGCAGTCGCTTTTCCATTTACTGGTTTAAGAAAGACAGACAATTGAAACGAACGGATACATTGAATGTGAATTAAATACATTTTAAATATTCTGATTCCCGGATGTTGGAACTCCCTAGCCTACGTCACCACCGCACGCCCGAACACCGGACTCTGATTGGCTGAAAACGAGCAACTAATGTGATACGTCGTCTCACGCAGAAAGGAGGACAAGAAACATTGAGATAAAAATAAACAGAAGTCGGCGTTGGTAAAAGTTATAATAACTATGGCTCTGGGAGACTGCTGGAAGAGTTTATCGTGGTTGTACTACCAGTATATTCTGGTGACGGCGCTGTACATGCTGGAGCCCTGGGAGAGGACGGTGTTTAGTATCCTTTTTACAAACAACTACAGCTAAACGAGCTAATGTGCTAACTGTAGCTACAATGTCTGTAGAGCTAACCTAGCTTTTAGCTCTGATAATGCAATAACTTTTTTACTGAATAACTACATATACTTTGCGTGTGTATAATGAACCAGATAGATAGGTAGGTAGGTAGGTAGGTAGATAGTTTATTTATTCATTAGCTTGTTACATCAGCAATGTTTTCTAGCATTACAATAATTAAAAGGTAGAACAAGTTATACAAATAAAACAATTAACAGTAATTATATATATACATATCTACAGTACATGAACCACAAAGAATACTCAATAGACTGTTCTATAAAAGACCAATATACTACAGCAACAGAAATATAGACTTATACTATATATATATTTGACAGTAGCAGGACGTACACGTATACTGCCAGTCGTTAAACCTGTTCGAGGTGTATTCTTGACAAGAACAAATATTGTTTTCATTTTTTAATAATGCCGAATCAAGAGACCACACAGTTGTAGAAGAAGTATTTCAGTTTTGTTTTTGGAGTCGTTTTCTTCTGGTTATTGAGGATGCAGAGTCCATTTCTGACATGTTCAGCATCATAAATGGCAGTTTTAACCAGAAAATGAGAATATCTGTACTCTGTGGGCTGATTTGAATAATAATAATAATAGATGTATTTTGTTAGCGCTTTTACAGGTGCTCAAAGTCGCTTTGCAGATAAAGTGAAAAGAAAAGAACAAACAATACATATATAAATATATAGTTAAATTAAAATCAAGCAATACAAAAACAATCACCCATTAAAAGCCAGACTGAAGAGGTGAGTGTTTTGAAGGTGGGGGGGTCAGTGCAGTATCTGATGGGGGAGTGAGTTCCAGAGGAGGGGGCAGCGACGGAGAAGGCTCTGTCCCCCCAGGTCCGGTGATTGGTGCGGGGGGGGATGGATAGGAGGTTGGCTTCTGATGAGCGGAGGCAGCGGGAAGGGGTGTGGTGGTGCAGCAGGTCTGTGAGGTAGGGAAGGGGTGTGGTGGTGCAGCAGGTCTGTGAGGTAGGGAAGGGGTGTGGTGGTGCAGCAGGTCTGTGAGGTAGGGAAGGGGTGTGGTGGTGCAGCAGGTCTGTGAGGTAGGGAAGGGGTGTGGTGGTGCAGCAGGTCTGTGAGGTAGGGGGAAGGGGTGTGGGGGTGCAGCAGGTCTGTGAGGTGAGGAAGGGGTGTGGTGGTGCAGCAGGTCTGTGAGGTAGGGAAGGGGTGTGGTGGTGCAGCAGGTCTGTGAGGTAGGGGGAAGGGGTGTGGGGGTGCAGCAGGTCTGTGAGGTGAGGAAGGGGTGTGGTGGTGCAGCAGGTCTGTGAGGTGAGGAAGGGGTGTGGTGGTGCAGCAGGTCTGTGAGGTGGGGGGAAGGGGTGTAGTGGTGCAGCAGGTCTGTGAGGTGGGGTGTGGGGGTGCAGCAGGTCTGTGAGGTAGGGGGAAGGGGCGTGGGGGTGCAGCAGGTCTGTGAGGTGAGGAAGGGGTGTGGTGGTGCAGCAGGTCTGTGAGGTAGGAGGAATGGGTGTGGTGGTGCAGCAGGTCTGTGAGGTAGGGGGAAGGGGTGTGGTGGTGCAGCAGGTCTGTGAGGTAGGGGGAAGGGGTGTGGTGGTGCAGCAGGTCTGTGAGGTAGGGGGAAGGGGTGTGGTGGTGCAGCAGGTCTGTGAGGTGAGGAAGGGGTGTGGTGGTGCAGCAGGTCTGTGAGGTAGGGGGAAGGGGTGTGGTGGTGCAGCAGGTCTGTGAGGTAGGGAAGGGGTGTGGTGGTGCAGCAGGTCTGTGAGGTAGGGGTGTGGTGGTGCAGCAGGTCTGTGAGGTGAGGAAGGGGTGTGGTGGTGCAGAAGGTCTGTGAGGTGAGGAAGGGGGTGTGGTGGTGCAGCAGGTCTGTGAGGTAGGGAAGGGGTGTGGTGGTGCAGCAGGTCTGTGTGGTAGGGGGAAGGGGTGTGGTGGTGCAGCAGGTCTGTGAGGTAGGGGGAAGGGGTGTGGTGGTGCAGCAGGTCTGTGAGGTAGGGGGAAGGGGTGTGGTGGTGCAGCAGGTCTGTGAGGTAGGGGGAAGGGGTGTGGTGGTGCAGCAGGTCTGTGAGGTAGGGGGAAGGGGTGTGGTGGTGCAGCAGGTCTGTGAGGAAGGGGTGTGGGTGGTGCAGCAGGTCTGTGAGGTAGGGGGGGGGGTGTGGTGGTGCAGCAGGTCTGTGAGGTAGGGGGGGAGGGGTGTGGTGGTGCAGCAGGTCTGTGAGGTAGGGGGGCCTGGTTGTTGAGGGCTTTGTGAGTAATCAGGAGGACTTTAAAGTAGTTTTCTTTTGGTTATTGAAGATGCATTTCTGACATTTTCAGGATCACAAATGGCAGTTTTATCCAGAAAATGGCAATATCTGAACTCTGTGGGCTGATTTTGAATAATTTCGGTCCATTTAGAAGTTTAAGTTGACTCTGTCATCTGGGTTGGACAGATTGCCTATTTATTTGCCAACAATTGTACAAAGTGGAGGTAATAAGTTCATGTTGTGCTCTCTATATCCAATGTTTGCAACAGTACATTGTATGTCACTTGCTTTTATCCAAAGCGACTTACATACTCAGTCCTGTGGGCAATCCCCACAGGAGCAATTTGGTGTCTTGCCCTGGGACACAATGACATGCTGACTGCAGTGGGGTTTGAACTTGCTACCCCCTGATTCGAAGTCCAGCTCACTACCCACTGAGCCACAGCCTCCCTACTCATGGTAGTCAAAATCAGCCCACCGAGGGTACACATATTGCCACCAATCCTGTAGTTGTAGAAGAAGTATAACGTGTTGTTTATTGGTCAGTAGAGAGCACTTACTTTTCTATCTGATCATCCTAATGAGGTTGTCGTTCATTTAGGCTTTTTACTAAATGATACTACTTGCTACAAACTTACATTTGAAAAGGTTTAACTACGCACACCACATAACACATCGAAGGTTTCTCATTTCTCTAATTCCACTCCTCGACTCCTATAGAGGCGAAGTCCCGCCCATCTACTTCCGCCCCATGGGACCTTATTTCAGAAAAATGATGTATTGAAGTCAATGGAGAGAGAACTTATCTTTCGAATTGTGCCACGAGTTACACATATGATGTTTGTCAATCTTAAAAAATCATTTCCGTGTTAAAAAAGTCACAGTTTGTCGTAAAACTGTTGAAATATAAGACTATGAAAAATACGCAACTAGAAAGACCGGTCCCGCATGCTGGCTCTCAGGAACCGACTAACTCCCCTTGTGTGTGCACAGCTCTCAACGTGCCCAGACTTGGAGTGATTTTCACCTCTCTTAATACTTTCCGACTCGTTCTGAAAGAAAGAAGTGAAATGTTCCAACGTGACGGCCGTCTGGGTGTGTGGAGCGAGACGGGAGATGTAGTTCATTGAGCGGTTTCACACAAAGTGTTACTTCACAGTTTTACGACACATTTAAAAAAAATTGACTTGCAAAATTATCTTTTAAATTGACAAACATCATATGTGTAATTCGTGGCACAATTCAAACGGGATCAAAAGATAATCTTTCTCTCTCCATCGACTTCAATGCATACTTTTTCCGAAATAAGGTCCCATGGAGGAAAGGGAGGGACTTCGCCTCTCTATCCTCGCGTCTTAGTCCCGCCCACAGGGGATGCGAGCGGAGGAGTCGAGGAGGAGAGAGGAGGGGAGCCGAGGAGAGGAGGGGAAGCAGCAGGCGGTTACAGAAATGAGAACTCCTCTCCTCTGAGCGGTCATCTTAAAGAGACGTCCATTAATGATGACAGGAGGCACAGCAGCCCTCTGTCTGATGGACAGATGTGTTCTTCTATATTTACTTTGATTCATTCACAGTGCGGTGTAATGAGACAATAACAGGCTACAGATGCGGACACACACACATATATGTGCATCAGTGGCGAACCGTGTCTATCACAACTGGACCTTCTGTAGACACACACCCCCCGCCGCCGCCCCACCACCTCAATGCGTAGTGCATGGTCCGAGAAGGACAAACAAATGAACGTAACGCTGTGATATTACAGATCAACAACACAGATACCATTTATTCATTTTATATTTATATAATTAAATCAGTTTTTGGAGTGTTCCAGGGTATTCTCTGAATACCTTGAAGGCCCTGACGGTTCGCCACCTATATATATATTTATATACATATATACAATTTCAGAATCAAATAAGTATGAGAGCACTCTCATAATAACGTAACACTATCGGAGACTAATGATGGATGCACATAATGTACCGATCGGGGATTGTATTTGTTAAATTGTAGTCAGTGAATAAAAAAATCTAGTTTGAAGTGTATTTTAACAAAATCAATTATTGTTTTTATTTTTTAATAATGCAGATTCAAGAGACGGATCCTATAGTTGTAGAACACGTGTAAATATTTGTTCCATTAGATCTGTGGATGAACTTATTAATGAAACATCGTTTAATACATAAGGTTTGAGGCTTGATTGACTCTATACTGTTGGAGGAGAACACTCAAACATATATTTAAAGAACAACAAACTATTCATTTAATCTTGATTGCCGATTTAAAGGCTACGAGCTAATGCATTGGAGAGTGTTTAACACTTTGTTTTAGTGTAACTTACCTTTGACTGCAAAATAACGTTCAATAGGTCGAAGTGTCAGGACAGGATCAGGTGACACGTGCAAATAAACGTTAACATGTTTTATTTAGGATAACAGACAGTTTCATCTCTGGTGGTTAATAATGTAAAAGTTGATGGTGTTGTGTATTCATTTAAAGGTCCCCTCTTCTTCCTGTCTCTTCTACATCAACATGTGTCCCCTCTTCTTCCTGTCTCTTCTACATCAACATGTGTCCCCTCTTCTTCATGTCTCTTCTACATCAACATGTGTCCCCTCTTCTTCATGTCTCTTCTACATCAACATGTGTCCCCTCTTCTTCATGTCTCTTCTAAATCAACATGTGTCCCCTCTTCTTCATGTCTCTTCTAAATCAACATGTGTCCCCTCTTCTTCATGTCTCTTCTACATCAACATGTGTCCCCTCTTCTTCATGTCTCTTCTACATCAACATGTGTCCCCTCTTCTTCATGTCTCTTCTAAATCAACATGTGTCCCCTCTTCTTCATGTCTCTTCTACATCAACATGTGTCCCCTCTTCTTCATGTCTCTTCTACATCACCATGTGTCCCCTCTTCTTCATGTCTCTATCACCATGTGTCCTCTCTTCTTCATGTCTCTTCTTCATCAACATGTGTCCCCTCTTCTTCATGTCTCTATCACCATGTGTCTCCTCTTCTTCATGTCTCTTCTACATCAACATGTGTCCCCTCTTCTTCATGTCTCTTCTACATCAACATGTGTCCCCTCTTCTTCATGTCTCTTCTACATCAACATGTGTCCCCTCTTCTTCATGTCTCTTCTACATCAACATGTGTCCCCTCTTCTTCATGTCTCTTCTTCATCAACATGTGTCCCCTCTTCTTCATGTCTCTTCTACATCAACATGTGTCCTCTCTTCTTCATGTCTCTTCTACATATCATGTGTCCCCTCTTCTTCATGTCTCTTCTACATCAACATGTGTCCCCTCTTCTTCATGTCTCTTCTACATCAACACGTGTCCCCTCTTCTTCATGTCTCCTCTACATCAACATGTGTCCCCTCTTCTTCATGTCTCTTCTACATCAACATGTGTCCCCTCTTCTTCATGTCTCTTCTACATCAACATGTGTCCCCTCTTCTTCATGTCTCTTCTACATCAACATGTGTCCCCTCTTCTTCATGTCTCTTCTACATCAACATGTGTCCCCTCTTCTTCATGTCTCTTCTACATCAACATGTGTCCCCTCTTCTTCATGTTTCTTCTACATCAACATGTGTCCCCTCTTCTTCATGTCTCTTCTACATCAACATGTGTCCCCTCTTCTTCATGTCTCTTCTACATCAACATGTGTCCCCTCTTCCTCATGTCATGTCTCTTCTACATCAGCATGTGTCCCCTCTTCTTCATGTCTCTTCTACATCAACATGTGTCCCCTCTTCTTCATGTCTCTTCTACATCAACATGTGTCTCCTCTTCTTCATGTCTCTTCTACATCAACATGTGTCTCCTCTTCTTCATGTCTCTTCTACATCAACATGTGTCCCCTCTTCCTCATGTCTCTTCTACATCAGCATGTGTCCCCTCTTCTTCATGTCTCTTCTACATCAACACGTGTCCCCTCTTCTTTATGTCTCTTTTACATCAACACGTGTCTCCTCTTCTTCATGTCTCTTCTACATCAACATGTGTCCCCTCTTCTTCATGTCTCTTCTACATCAACATGTGTCCCCTCTTCTTCATGTCTCTTCTACATCAACATGTGTCCCCTCTTCTTCATGTCTCTTCTACATCAACATGTGTCCCCTCTTCTTCATGTCTCTTCTACATCAACACGTGTCCCCTCTTCTTCATGTCTCTTCTACATCAACATGTGTCCCCTCTTCTTCATGTCTCTTCTACATCAACATGTGTCCCCTCTTCTTCATGTCTCTTCTACATCAACATGTGTCCCCTCTTCTTCATGTCTCTTCTACATCAACATGTGTCCCCTCTTCTTCATGTCTCTTCTACATCAACATGTGTCCCCTCTTCTTCATGTCTCTTCTACATCAACATGTGTCCCCTCTTCTCCATGTCTCTTCTACATCAACATGTGTCCCCTCTGTGGAAAGAGACTCAGGAACAAAGATTCTCTCTCTTTTTGATCCATTTCTATAAAAACCTGTCTGAAAATGAGCTGATCAGATTTTGGCCACTTGATGATGTCATAGCGATGTTTTGGCTTGAGTAACCATTAGCCAATCAGCAACCCCCCCCCCCCCCCCCTTTATCACCTGAATCTCCTCCCAGAGCACCATTGAGTTCTTTGTAACCAAATCTCTCTCAGGGGCGTGGGGAGGGGCTCCTTATTTTTCATCTAAAGCAGGTATGGGCAAACTAAGGCCCATATACGGCCCGTTGGGCTTTTGAATCCGGCCTGCCGAATATTGGTACAAAATTGTCCAAATTATAGTAAAGACCGCATTCATTTAGTCTTTTTCCTGCAATACCCGGCATTTCAGTTGATCCCACTAGATGGCGCACTCTAGACACAATTTACCTTTGCTGGAGTCTGGTCTATTCTCTCAGCTGGCCCCACTCGGCAGCAATAACAGTTCATGGCGAATACAAGTTGTATCAAGCAGTAGCGCTGAGCAAAGTGACTAGAACGCGACCACACACTTATAAAAAACACTTATATAAAGTCAGGTAACACTAACCAGGCTTAGTGTGATTCTGTTTATTTGACCTTACTTTAATGACCATCCGTTCACTGTTATTGACCATTGTGAAGAGGCAGACATGTTCCTGTTGTTTGTATTATTGCAGCTATCGGATGGAATCAATACATGGGCTACATGTGGCCATCACAAGTAAAATCATAACGAAAACTACGCCGGTAAAATATGCGTGTAGAAAACGGCTTATGCCACAATATCATAGCAACAAGTAGTCAAGATAGTCTGATTAGCTTCGGTTGCTATGCTAACATCACCTGTAGAATGCCAGAGAAACGTTCATAACAGCGTTGTGATGCCAAACAGCTTTCAGACTAAAACACATTCACTGATGGGGATGGGGGATATGTATCAGCTGCTTGTGACAGTCAGACAATGAAAACGTTTCAGCGGCCGCGAGTTAACGGGAGAATAAACTCCGGTAGACGAGCAGCACTGCAGCGGGCGGTAATGCAGCTGAACCACATTAATAAACAATACACCACGGCACTCTGGAGCAAGGTATAAGGTTGCAGAAGTAGTTATTTAATTTAATCCGGCTTCGTATGATTAAAAACTACCAGACGCAGTCCTCTATCGATGTTGTTGTGAGCGGTTTTGCGGAGAAAATCAGCGACGTAAAACGCTGTGTGGCTCATAAGAAGGCACGTAAACGGTTACGTCATGACGCAAACGATGACGCAATAATTCACCTCTGAACCTAATTCACCTTTGAACCTGCATCTGTAACAATGAGTGGATCAAAGAAAAGAAAAGTCAACATTGAGTGCCGAGTGTATAATGAGAGTGGACAGCTAAATATGTGTTTACCGATCTGCTCCTGGCCCAGCCCGTCTGTCAAATTTAAAACTCATAGTGGCCCCCGAGCCAAAAAGTGTGCCCACCCCTGATCTAAAGTAACAGACAGAGAATCAGCACTTTGGAAACAGGGCTGAAACAGAGGGGATTATGGGTAATGCTGCAATGATCTGTTTGGTGTTTCAGCCAATCAGAGACAGGCTCTGGATATATCTGAGACCTGTGATATATTGATGAGAAACGGTATGATAGGAAACCTTTAACATTAAAACGGTTTTAAATGAATACAAGTTATGTTCCCGCCTCCTACAGAATAATGCTTCCTGCTGTAGAAAGCTACATCTCCTTCGTCAGCTCCTCCTTAACTCCTCTTCTTCAGACTCTCTGTTGATCTCAGTGGCCGGCATGGCTGTTTACACCGGCTACGTCTTCATGCCGCAGCACATCATGGCCATCCTGCACTACTTCGAGGTCGTCCAGTGACACGAGGACCAGCTCTTTCCCTCCAAAGGTCCCGTCTGACTTCCTGTCTGCGTTCTCCAGGGCTCTAAGTGGGCATCGTCTCCTCCTCCTCCTCCTTCTGTCCAACTCCCTAGCAAAGGTCAAAGCTCTGAACATCGTGTTTGAGGTCACGTTGGAGGATCTTTTTCCCTGGGACTGTTTCTTCCAAAGTGAACAGCGTTGGGCTCGAAGGCTGCTCGGTTTCCTTCACTTGTTTTTATTTTTAAATCAAGCTCACTTTACTGTTTTTACAAAATGTTTGATTACATGATTGTTTAAAGACTGATTCGACAATTTCTTTTAAGACATTGTTGTCTTAGAGTTTTATGCAAAGAGGCGGACGTCCTTGATACTCCTTTACGAGCCAAATAAGATTATTTCATCAGGAGCTTTGGGTCAGAGCGACTTCAGCCATCCTTATTCTCCCGCTTCAGAAAGACGGGCAGGTTGTGTAAATAACGTGTAATCTGGGAGGGGTTGAGATATGAGATCTGTCTTGTATTTATTGTAAATAAATGTGATTAGTTTATTGTTTTACTCTGGAAATAAAACTCCATCAGAATCTACCTTTATCAGGTGTTCCTTTTCTTGTAATTTTAATTTGCCAAAGATTCAAAGGTACACCAGTAGCCAAAAATGGGGGGAACCTTAATGAGTATTTCACAATAATAGAACTCAGGCTTAAAAGGAAGTCTAGCCTGGAAGATGTGGTCATTATTAACAGCGGGATCAGACGGCTCTTTCCTGCAGGGTGGAAGCTCTTCTTATCTCTGTGTAGTTTTGGCTGCAGCTGCTTGTAAACATGCGGAGGTTTCCCTCCCACACGTCTCAGGTCGTGAACCTTAAAGTCTTGAAACGTAGCTTTCAGCGAGCATTCAAATGACACAATTTTCCCACTGAGGCAGGCACACCCCACACAAGTTTCCTCTTTGTACAGAAAACGATGATAAATGTTTATAAAATTCCACTTTTATGTATAATCACCTTTTTAACGTATGCACAACTACTGATATCCCTCTTTAAAAAAACTGAACAATTCTCCAAATTGTGTATATATTCTTGTATACATATTTGTAAAGTTTTGTTGGCGAAAAGAATAAAATATTTGTGGTTTCTGGAAACGACTAAACACTGTTCTTTGACCCTGAAATCACTGATGTTGGTTTTACCTGAGGTTACTTTGACTTTGCTGTGTTTAGTGATCAGTGCAGGTGACTTATCACACCTGTGTTTTTTATGAAGAGAATTCAATGTAAGGGCTTATATTTAACAGTCTGTACCGCATGCACATGTTGTGGTGCTGTGTTTGTACTCTGAATACCAATATCTCCAAAACAAGGAAATCATTCTTACCTTTTACTATTTGAGAATGTTTGTAATAGCCTCAATCTCTCAAATGTCAGTAATAGTTTAATCTCTTTTATATTCCCTGCCATATACGGTCCTAAATGTATGTTTGTAGTGAGACATTGTTTTGGTTCAGTTTCAATATAATTCATAGTGAAAAGCCTCAAAGTCATGCTGACAAAAACACATGTATCTGAGAAATGTAATTGCCTTAATTAGACACTAGATGGTTGTGTTTTTTAAAGGTCCCATGTCACGGCCATTTCTACTGATCATAGCTCCATTGTTGAGGTCGACTAGAATAGATTCACATTGTTCAATCTTCCAAACTCACATTGGTTTCTCACAGCATCTCTGTAGAGTCTGTGTATTCACTCTCTGTCCTACACGGCTTGACGGAGCTCCTGCCCCCCCCCCTCCCCTCCCTGTGAGCCCACTGTGCTCTGATTGGTCAGCTCGCCCACTCTGTTCGGATGCTGTTCTGATGTATTTATTGTCAAAGCATTTAATATATTCATTGCTATCGGGATTTTAAGAGCATTCCATGGAATATAACGAGTGTTTCTGTAGAGAATTACCTACCCCACCTTTAACTGTTAAGAATTACCACTTTTTGTGTTTTGCTCACTAAAGTATAACATAAAGTCTGTTGTTGTTAATCAAATCTTATCCATGGTCGGCAAAACATGAAACAATGACGATTTGAAAACCCCACGTTAAGAAATGTGTATTATGTATCAGGATGTATACTGAGAGAGGATGTGTAAATCCTACACACACTATTTTGGAAAACAATCAAAATGTATTTTTAATATATATTTTGTATTTTTTAATATATATTTTGTATTTTTAATATATATTAATTTATACGAAAAAACTAAACAAAGCAAATGCTGTATCTCCTTATCAGCTATCAGCAGCTTGAATCTCCATTCCTTATTCAAAAGCCATCACTCACGTGTCAACGGCTTCTCTCTGATTACAACTCACTTCCAAGGAATCGTTCCTTCCCTTTCTCTTTGGCAGCGGATCAAATGGAAACAAGAGGTTACTGGTTAACTGAGATATGAAGCTTTTCTCACGTACACAAAACAAGCTGCTACTGGAGTTTGAACCGCCGTCATGTCAGCAAAAACACATTTAAAATACTGTCGGATCTAAAAAATATCCCCTGATATTCAAAGGAGTTGCAAGTAGGAAAGAGTGCCAATATATATCAAATTAGGTGTGTATAAATGTATTTATAGGTGAAAACATTGCATAGTCATACAAATGGCGTCCATCCAAATTGAAAGAAAAAAGCTGAATTTACCAAAATAACCTTGCCTTTATTTATACTTTCTGACCTTTAGCTCTCTTTGTCACGGCTATTTTGAGATTTGTTTACACTGAAACCAGTTTACAGAAGATCGGAATTCATCGGAGGGGGATTACCTCATGTGGATCCTCACGTACACCCTTGCCGTTTCCAGGGCGCGATGTGACACGTTTGATCTTTTAATAACCCATAAACTCCCCTTATTAAGTATAATTCACTGTATTTAATATTATCTGTGTATTTCCCATCTATTTACCTTTATTTTCATATAATTTATTTTGTACTACTGATAATTTTGTATATAACTGACTGTTTTGCACTCTGGTTAGACCCTCCTTAATTTCGTTACACACATGTGCTTGCATTTTTGTAATGACAATAAAGTAATCTAATCTAATTATGTAATCAGATAAAGGGTTGTTTCTCCTACAGATGTTCTTGAACACAACAGGCGGGGTCAGAAAGTGTCTCTGCTGCAGAAAGCTACTGACAATAATACTGATAAGACTGATACACCAGCTGACAATAATTTACAGTAATAACTGAAGATAGTATTGGAGTAGAGCTGCATCTACCATACAATTCACAGAAAAGTAGTAAATGGTCACATCTATATAAAGGTCAATCTAAACTTCACTTGGTAAAAAGCCAATGTTGGGGTATAAAGGAACTACAGCACGGTCACATGACTTCACGTCACCACCGCTAAGCTAAAGGAGGCTAATGTTGGGCTATAAAGGAACTACAGCACGGTCACATAACTTCACGTCACCACCGCTAAGCTAAAGGTGGCTAATGTTGGGCTATAAAGGAACTACAGCACGGTCACATGACTTCACGTCACCACCGCTAAGCTAAAGGAGGCTAACGTTCGGCCTGATGACGTTTAGTCGTCTCATTTAGACACTTGTTAGCAACATCTGTTTTTTAATTCACCAGTGGGGTATTTACCGACGTATTTTATGTTGTACAACAAAAGGTGAAAATCTCTTTAGCTTGTGTTAACCACAGACCTTATTTCAGGCATCTTACCACAAAAACACATTTTAAAAATAGTTGAATTAAAGGTAGGGTAGGTAAGAATGGAGAAACCAGCTCGAGTGCGCTAGAAGCTGAAAATACACAACCGGAGAAAATCTGCCCCTTCCTTCAGACTTCCTCACAGAGCCCCTCCTCCAACACACACGAACCAATGAGGGCACGAGATGAGTTTGTGCACAGATGGAAGGCTGACAGGCAGGTAGGCCATCCAGTTACTTTAGCCGGGCCGAGGCAGATGATTGGTCGTGCTTTTTACAGCGCCACGGCTTCCAGAGATGATATTTTGGTATATATTTATTGTCAAAGCATTTCATGTATTCATTGCTATCGGGATTCCATGGAATATAACAAGTGTTTCTGAAGTGAATCACCATACCCCACCTTTAAGGACGAGGGAACCAACTATTTTCAGGGTGTTATGACTCATTGCGTCACTCTTAATTTTAGCATCAAGAATATCTATAAATATAAGTCATATGAGCAGACTTTGGATAGAACAAAAGTTAACTGTGTTCACTTACAGGTACATACTTTGTAATCTACACCATTGGCTCATTCTGTCATTCAAACAGGAGTCATGTTGCCTTTACATGCAATGATTGTCTTCTTTTTGACATGAGGTATGTTAAAAAATACTATATTGTTGTCAACTAAAAAGAGCATATTCTGTGTGTTGTAAAAGGAGGACACAGAGACGTACTGTATGTCTTTAATACATTGTTCTTTTCTAACTGCTATGTTGTCTTGCATAATACACTTAAGTAAAATAAGCATCTTATTGATATGTATTTTCTCGTGTATTTATTTGCTTTGCATTTGATATTGAGGTAATCCAGAAGTAACTGAAAGCAATCAGGTCACCTTTATTCTGTGTTACTTGGATTAAGTGACTGATTCAATTGTTTTACACCTAATTAGTAAATGTAACAGAATACATGGATTTGACTTCACCACATGTTGCTGGAGTAGTAACCCGTGCAGCTGTTCAGTGTTTCCCTGCACGTGGTGAACATCCATAGAGGGAACATCACGTCCTCTGTTTACCTCCTCGCGACAGGAGGGAGGCAGCTGCAGCACGAGGGCTACATGCTGCTCGTGCTGTCCTCAATGGCGGCGGGCACGCCCAGTGGGCGGGCACGTGGCCTGGATGAGTGACCACGTAGCAGAGTGGAGGTTATTTATTTACTTTATTTACAATGAATCAATATAAAACACGAGTTTGTTGGACTGATTGATACATAACATATATGTTAAGCTTATTGACATTCTGTTTCTGTTTCTGTGTTATTATTTTGAGAATTGTGCACCTTATTTCCCCAGAATTTACGTTAAAATGTTTGACATGATCATTAACAATATATCATTAAATAGTAAAGGTTATAATGACAACGTGTTGGAGTGTAACAGAGTAAGGAGTCCCCCTCCTCCTTCTCATAGCCCTTTCTCAATTCACTAATTTCCCCTCGTCGAGGGGGGGAATTAGAGAAATGAGAAAGGTCCATAGTAAACATTACATCCAGCACGTCTCCCTTTTCTCCCTCATCGCACTCCCTCTCTGTAAAACTGCAAGAATGCAACCGGAAGTTCAAAAGTAGGCCTTCAAAATGAAAGCTGGATTCGCCCATGCTTTAAAGACACAACATAGAGAGACATTCTCAGAGCAATCATAATTTGCACAACAATGAACATAAGATAAATATGTAAAATACATCAGTGTAACAGTCAAGATGCATAGATGGAAAGAGTAAAATAGTGTACAATAGTAAAAGTGTTGCTAAAAATGTGCACATCATATCATTTTCTTAAATGAAACAGCTGTACGGATGTTTTGCAGGAATGCAGCAATTTGATAAATTAGGACATCTTCCAATTGCATGTTTTTCCCGCATCAAAACAATTCAAATCAAAGCCCAAATATGTCCAATTCTGTATACAAAATGTCTAATTAAAACAAAAATATATCCAGCTTAAAGTGATTTAAAACAGGGAAGCTAAAGGAAATGTTGAGTTTTCATGATTGATAAATGTATTTCCTGAATAACTCTTACCTGTAGATACATTTTCTGTCCTTAGCTTATTTGACCATAGCACTTAATAACATACTTAAACATATTCCCTTTGTCAGGGAATCATTCTGTATACATGTTTACCTTCGCCCTCTGACGCAGCTGCCCTAACCCCTGATCAGCCGCTATCTCCCTTAAGGAGGGGCTGCCATAGCAAGTTGTTGTTGTTGTTACCAGTTTGTGACCGGGCAGCTCTCAGTCAGAGATAGTTGTTGTTGTGGGACACCTGGAACACATCCTTCTCGGGGCGTAGATGACCCCGAGCCATAAGCGACAACAAACGTGATTCAGTGTCCTCAGCTGTTAAGTCTATCTATTGAAGAGTGTTGATTATTACACTCTGAGTTAAACCCTGGAGCTACAGGAGGGCTCTTCAGAACTGATGTGGCATCTCAACCGTGTGGTCAACTCGTGGCCCGTGACATGTCTTGTGAATTCTCCGGCCGAAGCTCCAAATAAACCGTGAGTGTTTGCCATCAGAGCTCCAGCTCTCCTCGTGTCTCTCTGAGTCCTGACTCCATCAGAGCTCCAGCTCTCCTCGTGTCTCTGAGTCCTGACTCCATCAGAGCTCCAGCTCTCCTCGTGTCTCTGAGTCCTGACTCCATCAGAGCTCCAGCTCTCCTTGTGTCTCTCTGAGTCCTGACTCCATCAGAGCTCCAGCTCTCCTCGTGTCTCTCTGAGTCCTGACTCCATCAGAGCTCCAGCTCTCCTCGTGTCTCTCTGAGTCCTGACTTCATCAGAGCTCCAGCTCTCCTCGTGTCTCTCTGAGTCCTGACTCCATCAGAGCTCCAGCTCTCCTCGTGTCTCTCTGAGTCCTGACTCCATCAGAGCTCCAACTCTCCTCGTGTCTCTCTGAGTCCTGACTCCATCAGAGCTCCAGCTCTCCTCGTGTCTCTCTGAGTCCTGACTCCATCAGAGCTCCAGCTCTCCTTGTGTCTCTCTGAGTCCTGACTTCATCAGAGCTCCAGCTCTCCTCGTGTCTCTCTGAGTCCTGACTCCATCAAAGCTCCAGCTCTCCTCATGTCTCTCTGAGTCCTGACTCCATCAGAGCTCCAGCTCTCCTCGTGTCTCTCTGAGTCCTGACTCCATCAGAGCTCCAGCTCTCCTCGTGTCTCTCTGAGTCCTGACTCCATCAAAGCTCCAGCTCTCCTCGTCTCTCTGAGTCCTGACTTCATCAGAGCTCCAGCTCTCCTCGTGTCTCTCTGAGTCCTGACTCCATCAGAGCTCCAGCTCTCCTCGTCTCTCTGAGTCCTGACTCCATCAGAGCTCCAGCTCTCCTCGTCTCTCTGAGTCCTGACTCCATCAGAGCTCCAGCTCTCCTCGTGTCTCTCTGAGTCCTGACTCCATCAGAGCTCCAGCTCTCCTCGTGTCTCTCTGAGTCCTGACTCCATCAGAGCTCCAGCTCTCCTCGTCTCTCTGAGTCATGACTTCATCAGAGCTCCAGCTCTCCTCGTGTCTCTCTGAGTCCTGACTCCATCAGAGCTCCAGCTCTCCTCGTGTCTCTCTGAGTCCTGACTCCATCAGAGCTCCAGCTCTCCTCGTGTCTCTCTGAGTCCTGACTCCATCAGAGCTCCAGCTCTCCTCGTGTCTCTGAGTCCTGACTCCATCAGAGCTCCAGCTCTCCTCGTCTCTCTGAGTCCTGACTCCATCAGAGCTCCAGCTCTCCTTGTGTCTCTCTGAGTCCTGACTCCATCAGAGCTCCAGCTCTCCTCGTGTCTCTCTGAGTCCTGACTCCATCAGAGCTCCAGCTCTCCTTGTGTCTCTCTGAGTCCTGACTCCATCAGAGCTCCAGCTCTCCTCGTGTCTCTCTGAGTTCTGACTCCATCAGAGCTCCAGCTCTCCTCGTCTCTCTGAGTCCTGACTCCATCAGAGCTCCAGCTCTCCTCGTGTCTCTCTGAGTCCTGACTCCATCAGAGCTCCAGCTCTCCTCGTGTCTCTCTGAGTCCTGACTCCATCAAAGCTCCAGCTCTCCTCGTGTCTCTCTGAGTCCTGACTCCATCAAAGCTCCAGCTCTCCTTGTGTCTCTCTGAGTCCTGACTCCATCAGAGCTCCAGCTCTCCTCGTGTCTCTCTGAGTCCTGACTCCATCAGAGCTCCAGCTCTCCTCGTGTCTCTCTGAGTCCTGACTCCATCAAAGCTCCAGCTCTCCTCGTCTCTCTGAGTCCTGACTCCATCAGAGCTCCAGCTCTCCTCGTGTCTCTCTGAGTCCTGACTCCATCAGAGCTCCAGCTCTCCTCGTGTCTCTGAGTCCTGACTCCATCAGAGCTCCAGCTCTCCTCGTGTCTCTCTGAGTCCTGACTCCATCAAAGCTCCAGCTCTCCTCGTGTCTCTCTGAGTCCTGACTCCATCAAAGCTCCAGCTCTCCTTGTGTCTCTCTGAGTCCTGACTCCATCAGAGCTCCAGCTCTCCTCGTGTCTCTCTGAGTCCTGACTCCATCAGAGCTCCAGCTCTCCTCGTGTCTCTCTGAGTCCTGACTCCATCAAAGCTCCAGCTCTCCTCGTGTCTCTCTGAGTCCTGACTCCATCAGAGCTCCAGCTCTCCTCGTGTCTCTCTGAGTCCTGACTCCATCAGAGCTCCAGCTCTCCTCGTGTCTCTCTGAGTCCTGACTCCATCAAAGCTCCAGCTCTCCTTGTGTCTCTCTGAGTCCTGACTCCATCAGAGCTCCAGCTCTCCTCGTGTCTCTCTGAGTCCTGACTCCATCAAAGCTCCAGCTCTCCTCGTGTCTCTCTGAGTCCTGACTCCATCAGAGCTCCAGCTCTCCTCGTCTCTCTGAGTCCTGACTCCATCAGAGCTCCAGCTCTCCTCGTGTCTCTCTGAGTCCTGACTCCATCAGAGCTCCAGCTCTCCTCGTGTCTCTCTGAGTCCTGACTCCATCAGAGCTCCAGCTCTCCTCGTGTCTCTCTGAGTCCTGACTCCATCAGAGCTCCAGCTCTCCTCGTGTCTCTGAGTCCTGACTCCATCAGAGCTCCAGCTCTCCTCGTGTCTCTCTGAGTCCTGACTCCATCAGAGCTCCAGCTCTCCTCGTGTCTCTCTGAGTCCTGACTCCATCAAAGCTCCAGCTCTCCTCGTGTCTCTCTGAGTCCTGACTCCATCAGAGCTCCAGCTCTCCTCGTCTCTCTGAGTCCTGACTCCATCAGAGCTCCAGCTCTCCTCGTGTCTCTCTGAGTCCTGACTCCATCAGAGCTCCAGCTCTCCTCGTGTCTCTCTGAGTCCTGACTCCAATTGCTACAGAAGTTTCCCCCACACCCTAGTATTGTGTCACCACCAGGGACAGACATTTGGAGGGGCTATTGCTCTAAACTGGAAAAAGGGCCTCCCCCCCGAAAAAAAACACAAGACCTTTTGAAAATTCTAACATAAACTCATAAAATAAAAACACAACACTGCCATTGCAAGTCAGTTGACTTTTATGTCCAACTGCTAAATTCATTATTCAGGCACATTTTTTGTTGCGGTCCTTATCTCATTAAAATATCTAATGTTAGTAACTATTAAAGAAACAATGGGGACAATTCTGTTTTAATGTAGTTTTACCGTTGTTACTGCTGTGCAGACATAGGCTACTGATAACATTCTATAATTACCTTAAATAAACTCACTAATTAATTAAACCAGTTCAATACGCATTATTCGTATCATTCTTTATGAGCGTAGTAACGGTATAGGTATCTAATTACTTATTTATTTAGAATTCCATAACTTAATAACAGAGATGGTCAAGCTAAAGTGGAGACATGGCAGAAATCCTACAATATAGCGGGACAGTGAAGTGTTCTCCGTGAGAGGGCGATCAAGAGAAGAGAGCGAGGGTGAGGGAGTTCACGGAGCAGAGTAAAAGACACAGAAAGACAGAAGCACAATAACAAGTATATTTAGGTGGTTTTTGTGTAAGTAACCGACGGTGTCAAGAGGAAGTAAAGTCCCCAGGTTTGTCCCCTATACTCTAACGGGCAGGAGCCAGAGCAGGCGTTTGGTGTGATCACCATATATGAGGTTGGACTCGGAGGGCTTTCCTTTGCTTCCAGCTGTCAGATTGTAAACAAAGTCACGTGACTGGGGGCAGACAGCGCGGACAAGGTGTGTTTCCCGCAGCGAGACGCTACATTACTAATTGTGGGCTTATCATGTTGATTCGGCCACAATAGAAGAAAAAAAAACCTCTTGCTCTCTCCAGAGGGGCAGGTCAGGCAAAAATGGCAAAAGGGCCGTTGCCCGGGCAACATTAGCCCGTACCTGTGCACGTCCCTGGTCACCACACTTCTTGCAAAGCTATTTATTATATATAAAACAAGAAGAAAACATGGTATTTGGCTAAATGAGTAGATAAAGAATACAACATAATGAGGACAGGATTAGACTTTGGATCCAAAGCATTACTGCGTTTATTTTGAAATCGACCACCGGAAGTAGTACAGGAGGCGACACCTGTCGTTGACAGTGTCGCCTCCTCCATAAGAGCTCGCGGGCTCTCTGAAACAGTCAGTGATCTCTCATCTCTTTTAATGTAGGTCTCTGCTGCCAATGAAACATCTCAAACTCCCTCTCTGACCTTTTAATACTCTTTCTGTGACACGTTTCACATAAAATCAAAGTTATTCTGCTGTGAAATATAATTTTTGACAGTAACACTTTCCCAGAATCTGACTTTATTTTATATTTTTGATGCAAAATGCCTTTCATTGAGCACGTTTCTGACGCAGATCTGGAGCGCTTGGCTCTGGAGCAGGTCGTCCCGGCGCTGCAGGACTTTGGTTTCTGTTATTTGGACGGGGTCCTGGGGGAAGTGGCCGGGGGGGCGGTGCTCCAGCAGGTGATCGATATGCACCGGGCCGGGGTGCTGCAGGACGGCCTGCTGGTAGGCTCTGTTCCCGGGGTGCACCGGAGCAGTATCCGCGGGGATAAGATCGCCTGGGTGAGCGGGGCGGAGCGCGGCTGCGAGGCGATCAACTTCCTGCTCAACATGATCGATAAGATGATCTCTGTGTGCGCGAGCCGGCTGGAGAGCAAGAAGATCCGCGAGAGGTCCAAGGTGAGAGGGAGGGGGAGACATATTTGAATGCCTAAACACACACTGATGCTCCTGTAAGACAAGAACTTCGACATTTGGGATCAATAAAGTAACTATCTATCTATCTAATACTGGACATCAGGAGATGTTGTTAAAATGGTAGCAATACTATAAAATAGCTTACTACCAGTCATACCAGGTCAGATGTAATACAGACAGGTCAGATGTAATACAGTCACTACAGGTCAGATGTAACACAGTCACTACAGGTCAGATGTAACACAGTCACTACAGGTCAGATGTAATACAGACAGGTCAGATGTAACACAGTCACTACAGGTCAGATGTAACGTCACTACAGGTCAGATGTAATACAGACAGGTCAGATGTAACACAGTCACTACAGGTCAGATGTAACACAGTCACTACAGGTCAGATGTAACACAGTCAAGCTGAAATAGAAAAAAAACAGGCATCAAATAATAGAGAATAATGCACAAATTAAAGTTCAGTGCAGTGTAAGGTATCACCTGCTGTCAAGTACAAGTAAAACAATTAGGGCTGTCAAACGATTACAATTTTTAATCAGATTAATCACAGCTTAAAAATGAATTAATCATGATTAATCTCCATTCGAACTATGTCCAAAATATGCCATTTATTTATATTGTTGTGGGAATGGAAAGAAGGCGGATATATCCATTTAACATGTTTATTGTAAAACATTTCTGTGTGTCAAAATGAAAGAGAGTACCTATCAATCATCAAACCGTGGGGTCTTAATTCATTACGTGTTGATTTCTATCAACGGGGGAGTACTTCAGGAAAGTCGACGGGGGGGGGGGGGGGGGGGGGGGGGGGGGGGGGGGGTGCTTGTGGAGTAGGGTGAATTGCCCTAATGTGGGACATTTTTTTTTGCATTTCAGACTTCGGGAAATATGCGATATGAAGCCAATACATTAAATCAACATCCAGTACCATTCTGAAATACCCAGGATGTGTCCTAATCAAACCAAAAGAGAAAATGCAGATATTACACTCATAAAATAAATGGTAGACATATCAGTACTCTTAGTGCCAAGTTGTCTCAGACAATCTGCTTTTCCTAATGTGGGACAGTTCTGTGCAAAATGTGGGACACTGAAATGTTGAAAAGCCTCAGTCACCTTAATTAATACATTTATTTATTTATTATTGTAATAAAACATCTCAGGTCAGTAACTCTGAGCGAAATGTGCAATACCATGTTCAGCTCTTTTACTATTTATAATGTTATTGTTGTTACAACATTTAGGCTTATAGGTGTGGATGTTAACTTTTTGTTGTTGTTGTGAGAATCAAACAACAATAGATTCTAATAGTTTTCAAAAATCATTGAATTGTATTTCACAGGGAACACATACAACTGCAGGTGTATTTGAAGGCAACATATCAAACATTGAGGCAACACATAAAACCTAAACCTGCGTAAAACAATTGCTTACAACATGCTGCTGTTAATTACAAAAGTTAAATGTTATTAAATCTAAAATCATTACAATGTATTTCACAGGGAACACATACACCTTTAACAGGTAGCCTATATTTGAAGGCAACACAACACACACAAACATGAACCTGCCTAAAACAATTGCTTCCAACATTACATGTCTGGAAACAAGCAGTCCTTGCATTTCAAGGAGCCATCATCATCCAGAACCCCGTTATCCTCTGCACAGCTTCCATGGAACCACTGGACACAGACTGCACACGAAAGCCCTTCCTCTGTGGACTTGGGGTCCTTTCTGTCCCCATATGCATGCTGGCAGATTGCACACGCTTCTTGGATCACTTGTGCACAGGGCCGGACTGGGACAATAAGTCAGGCCGGGAATTATACACCCAGCCTGGCCACTACCAGTTTTTTGTGCCATTTTGCTGGATTTATTTGTCCATTTTTACAGCGTTGCTGCCCGTAGTGATAGCCCTCTAAATCTACTACCCAAAAATAAACATATGGACATGGGTTACTATTTTTAAAAATGTGCAAATCTATTTAGGAACCTATGTGAACATATTTTAAGTGGGGGTGGACCTCAAATCCTCTAGGGGGGTCCGGGGGCATGCTCCCCGGTAAGATTTTTTTTTTTTAAATGTTGGACTTAATGCATCAATCTGGTGCACTTTGAGGGGGCAATAAAGAGAGAGACTACACCCATATGAAACAGAACTGTATACATTTAAATAATCATAAAATCATGAGATCATGGCCATAACCAATAACATCCCATATCCAATATGAAAAAACATTGAAACTTGTTTATTTATTTGTTTTTGGTTCATTTATAGTTGTGAGTGTGTCTGTGCTCCTGAACCAGCCTCACCTGTCTCCCCCCTCTCCCCCCTGCTCCTCTTTGAGGCAGCAGCAAAGACTAGTTTTAGCTCTCAACAAGTTTTAAAAGTTTATCTTACATTTTTTCACCTAGTTAACGTTTTTTTATTATTATTCATGCATATTTTACTAATCACTCCCCTCTCAAATGGAAATATGTGTTTACATAAATGGTGACCAAACCGTTTGAGACCCACTGAGATAACTTAGACTAAGTTAACTATCTAAACACTCAGAGTCCTTTACCTCACCTGAGCTGAGGTTATCAGTCTCTCAGTCTGACAGGAGAGGACTCTCCTCCACCTTGTTGTTGAAAAAGCTCCTTATATCCGTTAGCGCAGCTAGCTAGCACCAGATGCTAACAACAACAATACAAGTAACCAGTGCGCGCGCTTTATCTCACTCGCTCGCATATTTATTTAGCTTACTTGGGATAGAAGTGTGTCAGCTAAATGAAAAGTAAAGTAAAACAAATGTAATCAATTAATGCTTTTTCAAATATGCAACATCCTGTCTATAAACATATATTTGTATAATATGTAGACGGCTAAAATGACTTAATTAGTTTCTGTATATTGAAGTACCAAACACAACCACAAACATCTACAACGTTGACATGCAGCTAGCAAGATATTTAAATGAATGTAAAAAAGTTTAAGTATTATATAAGCAAGTGAAGTAAATATCCAATAAAATATTTAATAAATAAAGACATTTTTATGTTAATAAACAATAATAAGTCAAAATAAAATGTCCAGCATCAGATACAAATTTTTTTTTGTAAACAGAAGTTAAAGTATAAATGTGAAATAAAAAGATTAAATGAATTGAATCTGTTTAAATAAACATTGTTCTACTGTTTATCTCTGATCACTTCCTCCAGCTGCAGATGGAGCGGTGGAGATCCTCACGTACACACTCCGCCACTTATTCAATTATTCACACCTCACACACTCACACGTACACACACACACACACACACACACACACTGATTTACTGTATCCTTACTTCCTACACACACACACACACTGATTTACTGTATCCTTACTTCCTACACACACACACACCCAGCATATCCGCCAGTCTTCAATTGCAGCAGTGTACGACGAGTGTGTGTGTGTGTGTGTGATATCAGATATAACTTCTTAAGAAAACAGGTCATCCCAGGTACAATAGCAATACACACACACACACACACACACACACACACACACACACACACACACACACACACACACACACACACACACACACACACAGTTATCTGGAGACGCTTCAGGAGAATAAACATTGCAAAGATCTGCAGGAGAGGCAGTTGTATCCTCTACAGTGAACAACAAAACAAATATGACTAATATAACAAGTAATAAAGCCCAGCACATCATCAGTTTGTCATTTTACTTCTCAACTCAACGTACCGAAACAATGTGTTATGGTCATTTCAAACAGAAAAGAAAGAAAGCATACTGTTTTGCCCTTTTACGATTCCTTTTATTTCACACTTCTATTCCTCAAGTTCTCTTTGGTCAGCGTCACACAACGGAACGGCTAGAAAAAGCTATTTACACTCAAGGAATGTTCTTTTGTGTTTAATGGATCATACATCAATGAGGTTGTTGAAACAAGCACATGTATAACTGTATACAGTATATACAACTAATATAAGAAATATGCACACAATCCATTATCAAGACGACAACATTGTGTGTGTGTGTGTGTGTGTGTGTGTGTGTGTGTGTGTGTGTGTGTGTGTGTGTTGATGACAATGACAGTGAGAGTTTCCCTCATGCTCCACACATAGCTCTGTCATTACACACACACACACACACACACACACACACACACACACACACACACACACACACACACACACACACACCATGTATACATCACTTCAGGGACATTACATTGACTTACATGCATTTCCTGGAGACTTATCCTAACCTTAACCATAACCAACACATGCCTAACCCTTAACCTTACCCTTACCCTTACCCTAACCCTTAACCTAAACCTAACCAAATCTTCACCCTAAAATTAATGATACCCCTCATGGGGACCTCCAATTTGTCCCCACACGTGACTGTGTAAACAGATCTAGGTCCCCACAAGTATAGTAATGCTAGGCCACACACACACACACACACACACACACACACACACACACACACACACACACACACACACACCCTCCTCCTCTTTACTCGGAAGATGAGATAAAGTAGAATTCAAAACATCTCGGAGGCATTTTGTTTAGATTTTTTTTCTCCACGCTGTATCATTCCATCTGTTGCACCATGATGATGATGATGATGATGAAGATGATGGTGTGTGTGTTTCCATGCTTCAGTGGCAGTGTGGTTTTTTCTGGAGCACGTCAGACTCTCTTTATCAGCGTTGAGGGTTTGTCGTCATTGACGCTACGTGCAGCTCTGGACTCGCTCACATGCACGAAAACAGCTGTTAGGAGGTTGCATTCAAAGTTTCGTGCAAAAGCCAGACATCAGGTGGGAAACGCTGACGTCAGGGAGGTAACTAAAGGTGGTGATGCGTTCAGGGACCTGTGTGTTGGATGAGGGTAACATATTGCGTGTGGTTATTGTACGGAAAGGGAAGAGGACATGATGTGAGACCTTCAGAGGTGAGGATCGTTTTGAAGAGGTCGTTGATAGCAGGTGATGCTGGTGAATCAGAAAGGTGCTCAAGGAGATCCGTACACACACTTTGTCTACATCTTGTTTCCGACATACTGTACTTTGACTTACTCTCTACATTCTTTCGAATTACAATACAAAAACTGTTTCAGGACTTTTTTCACGACGTTTTAACGACTTTTTATTGACTTTTTAAAAATGTATTTCCCGACTTTTTGACGACATAGTATGATATTCTTTTTGCCATATTGTAGAACGACTTTTGCAACATTACATATTAAGACAGTTATTGACTTTTTCCGATATACTTTGTTGACTTTTTTACATGTATTTCATTACGTGTTTAGTACACTTAGATTGTTTGCCAGATTGTATAATGACTTTTTTGTGACTTTTCTTTTCAAATGTTGTACGACAAACTTTACAAGGACTCTTTTCCCATAAAAGAAAATGACCTTTTTTTGCGACATGTTGTGCTTGACTTTTTGCAAAATACTTACAATATTAAGACTTTTTTGCCATAAATACTGTGAGTGTTTAATGACATCCTATACTCTGACTTGTATCAAAAATATTGACCAACATATACACTGACCAACCCTTGAGAAACAGAGGAAGCACAAACAAATACAAAATTGTCAGGAATTCCCCTCCATACTACACGCCATAAAAGGGGAGGGGCTTAGCTTGACCCTGCAGCGCTGCGACCTTTAGTCCCGAACAGGGAGTGGAAGCTGATCAGCGGTTTCCTTCAAACAAACATGCTCTCATACATACATACACACACACACACCCACACACACACACACACACACCCACACACACACACACACACACACCCACACACACACACACACACGTGAAGAACATGCATGCTTTGAACAGTTTGTGTACGTGCAACTGTCGCCGTATGCACACAACCTGATGAACGTGATACATATTTGCAGATAACCAACACACACACACACACACACACACACACACACACACACACACACACACACACACACACACACACACACACACACACAACACACACAACACACACACACACACATTATACTTGAAAGGCTATAGAAATGTAATCTATTATTTCAATCAGCAGAGCCGGTGTTGATGTAAGAATACATATGTATTGCCAGGAATACACAAATGAATGTAATGGAGTTTTTGGCGATTAGGCCCCGTTGTGCGGGAGTATCATTCAGGAGGGGAGAACCGATCTGATGAAACCCCCCCGGGGTCTAGGACCCTGGTGGTGGTGCATGGATAGTTGGGTCGGTCTGAAGGGGAGGGGCTTAAGCATTGACCCTGGTGGTGGTGAATGGATAGTTGGGGTCGGTCTGAAGGGGAGGGGCTTAGCTTGACCCTGGTGCTGGTGAATGGATGGTTGGGGTCGGTCTGAAGGGGAGTGGCTTAGCTTGACCCTGGTGCTAGTGAATGGATAGCTGGGGTCGGTCTGAAGGGGAGTGGCTTAGCTTGACCCTGGTGCTGGTGAATGGATAGCTGGGGTCGGTATGAAGGGGAGGGGCGTAGCTTGACCCTGGTGCTGGTGAATGGATAGTTGGGTCGGTGAAGGGGAGGGCTTAGCTTGACCCTGGTGGTGGTGAATGGATAGTTGGGGTCGGTCTGAAGGGGAGGGCTTAGCTTGACCCTGGTGGTGGTGAATGGATAGTTGGGGTCGGTCTGAAGGGGAGGGCTTAGCTTGACCCTGGTGGTGGTGAATGGATAGTTGGGTCGGTCTGAAGGGGAGGGGCTTAGCTTGACCCTGGTGGTGGTGAATGGATAGTTGGGGTCGGTCTGAAGGGGAGGGCTTAGCTTGACCCTGGTGGTGGTGAATGGATAGTTGGGGTCGGTCTGAAGGGGAGTGGCTTAGCTTGACCCTGGTGGTGGTGAATGGATAGTTGGGGTCGGTCTGAAGGGGAGGGGCTTAGCTTGACCCTGGTGGTGGTGAATGGATAGTTGGGGTCGGTCTGAAGGGGAGGGGCTTAGCTTGACCCTGGTGGTGGTGAATGGATAGTTGGGGTCGGTCTGAAGGGGAGGGGCTTAGCTTGACCCTTGGATTCAGAGGGACAGGAGCTGAAAAGGGGTGGAGGGGGTTGCGTCGAGTCACCTGAAATGACAGCTGTCAGAGGGGGAGAGCAGATTTAAAAGGGTTAGCGGAGCGCTATGATAGGCTTGTGAGAATAGAGGAAGTGATTGGTTAAGCTGGGGAAGTGACGGCACCCCGATCACTTATTGAGAGGAGAGAGAGTAGTAACATAGACGTAGTAAATGAATGAGGAAAGACGGTCTTCCTGGTTGAACTGTGCGCTGAGCTTCCTTAGTATTAGTATCTGATTCTGTAGTCTCATACTGAAATACTCTACTGTATGTAAATAAACTGCATATTGTTCCAGGTCAAATACTGAAGTCTGATCAAATGTGTTTTCTGTGTGTTTTTCTCCAGGCGATGGTTGCTGCTGTTACCCTGGAAACGGGGCAGGCAGGTTACGTGAAACACGTTGATAACCCGAACTCTGACGGCCGCTGCATCACCTGCATCTACTACCTCAACAAGGACTGGAGCGCCAAGGTGCGTTCAGGGACCTCCGCTCATTACAGAGTCCTGTCTTGACCTCTGACCAAAACTATAATAACAAACTAAAATAATGCAAAATATTTGAATGACTAATGTTTTCGAATCAGTCCACGTTGTGTTTCTGATCTCTTCTTTCGTTATTGATCAGGAGCACGGAGGCATCCTCAGGATCTTTCCGGAGGGGATGTCCTTCGTGGCCGACATCGAGCCGCTGTTCGACCGGCTGCTCTTCTTCTGGTCCGACCGCAGGAACCCCCACGAGGTGCAGCCCTCCTTCAATACCAGGTAACCAACCAGTCAGATCATTAACCAATCAGATAACTAACCCACCAATCAGGTAACAGACCAGTTATTTAACCAATTAATCAATCAGATAACCAACCAATCAGATATCCAACCAATAATCTGATAACCAACCAATCAGATAACCAACCAATCAGACAACCACCCAATCAGATAA